CCAACAAGTAGGCTACTGCAAGTTGATCTGGACAGAGCCCTATACCAAGGAACTTATCATCCACATGGACAGAACAGGCAGTGGCTGAATGAGAGGAGGCATCATTGCCTCCATTTGATAGTAGAGAACTGAGATAACACAAATTCATTGATTAATCTAGGCAGGGGTTATGTAGTGGAGCTGGGATTTGGCCAAGAGCTCTGGGATCCCAGTCAAAAGCCTCAGTCACACAACCATCCTTCCTGCATCCCTCTGCAAGTAAGAGTGCACTTCTTTCTTTTCCACAGTATCAGCTGCAGTCTCTTGCTGAAGCTGGATTTGCTAGAATTAATGGCACAGAGAACTGCACAAGGAAGAGATTAACCCACCTCCTCTTATAGTAAAATTACAGGTGCCTTCTAGGCATAAACCAAACTTCAGCTCTTCTCTACAACACACAGCTTCATTTCACTAATTTTTCAAATTACTTTGGAGGCTTCTACATGTGGTTCCTTACTCCCAGTGCCAGCAGGTGGGAGAAGAAGCATCCATAAATCCTGATCATTCTGCAGATTTTCATATATCCTCCAGACTCTAGCACTGAATCTCTTTTTTCTCCCTTGAGCTAATGCTTCAGTAGCTGTGCCTTGACTTTCAAATATATTAACTGACTTGCCAATCATCATTATTATTTTTTTCTTAGCAATCTTCCAGCTTTACTTCAGCAATCCTCTTGTCCCTTTCAAACGCCAAAATCCACATTGCAAAAAAACCCACTGTTTAAAGGCTGAAAATTGAAACAAAAATAAAATCCAGAGTAATAGCTGATTCCACAGGTGAGATTCACTCAGTCTCAGGTCAGCCTTTTGCCATCTTTCCCTGTAATGCAAATGACCCTTAGTCTATGAAACCAGGAGGATTTCCTATAGGGTAGGCACATATGACTGATCAGCCAACTCATTGGATACCCTAGGAGGTTCTTCGGGGTGTCCTTGCAGTAGTTTGAGATGCTCTCCAACATAACAAACAAGTAGGGAAGCCTTTCTTTTCCTTGAAGATTCAGCTTGCATGCAATAGAATAGGGTACTGACAGCCTGGGGAGAATGACCTGTAAAATCCTTGGATTAGCAGATCTTTGTGCAGAAGGCAGTGACCCTGCCCTGCAATGTGGATTAGAGGGTGGAGGACAGGTTTAAAAGACCCAGTTCTCATGCCAGCTCTGCCACTGAGTCACTGATATCAGTAAATCAAGTTCATAAATAACTAGGAGAAGCACAATTTGCAGATGGAAGAGGATTTGAGTCTAGAATTGAGCAACGCACTTTGCAACAAGACCCTATGGAGCTGTTCTGCATTGTTGCCAGACCAAATCTTTCCAAACAAATGGCAATCAGTAGATTTCTAATATGCACCATGACTTGATCTTTTGAATGACTTAATATCTAGCATGACTTGAAGAAAAATGTCTTTAGTAACAGCTTTTTCACTATCTACCTGAAATCATGAGATCTTATTCTGTACAAGGGCCTCAGCTACCTGTAACATTACTCTGTGTCCTGGTTTCAGCTGAGATAGAGTTAATTTTCTTCCCAGGAGCTGACACAGTGCTGTGTTTTGGATTTAGTATGAGAATGATGATAACACACTGATGTTTCAGTTGTTGCTAAATAGTGCTTATTCTAAACCAAGGACTTTTCAGTTTCTGATACTCTGCCACTGAGGAGGCGCAGAAGCAGCCAGAAGGACAAGTGACCTAAATTAGCCAAAGGGATATTCCATACTACCAGGTTAGTGGTATTCTCAGTATATAAACTGGGGAGCAGCTAGGATGGACAAATTGCTGCTGCAGGACAGGCTGGGCATCGGTCAGCAGGTGATGAGCAATTGTATTGTGCATCACTTCTTTCTCTTGGGTTTTATTTCTGTCTTTCTCAGCTTTTCATTACTATTATTATGTTGATTATATATTTCTTCATTATCATTATTATTATTGTTGTTTTTGTTTTTGTTGTTGCTGTTGTTTTGTTTCAATAATTAAACTGTTCTTACCCCAACCCACAAATCATTATTTTTTTCTGATTCTCCTTCCCATCCCAAGGGGCTGGGAGAGTGAGCAAGCAGACCCCTGGGGGCTTAATTGCCCAGCTGGGTTAAACAACAACACTCTGAAACCCAAAGTCCAGCACCTCTGGACAAGCATTCAGGCACTGAAGTACCTTTTCACAGCCTCAGGGTGTAGATGTGTTGCATGGTGTTTTCAAATGTTGGGGCTGGAATCCACCCTCGTTTTCTCAGGGTGATGAATAGGTTTTTCTTTAGCTATCCTAGAGGAGAATTTTAATTCTAATCAGTCTAGCTATGAGAAGATGTGACACACTCAGAAAAAATTATGTTGAAAGACTCCCGAAACTACACTTTACCAAGACAGAACAAGGTCTTAGTACCCATTCTAAATTGTTGAATTAATTAAACCTTCTCGTACTAGAGTTGATTTAACCAGGCGAACCACTGAAAAAAGATCTGACACAGGTGTTGAAGCCTGGAGGAATCTTGGTCACTTGCTACAGCTTTGAGTATGGCAACGTCCCAGCAGTCTTGTTTTCAATGATAAGAAGGTCAGGCTGAAAAAGGATGTACTCAAGAAAATTGTTGGAATGGTGGAATGGGTAGTCAAGAGCTCTGGAACCATCCAAATCAATTCATCATATCTCATTGTTTCAGCCACTTTCAGATTTAGACTTTTAAACCTCTATGTGTGCATGCTGTCCTTGAATTGAAGAGGCACAGTATCTTTGTGTTGTTCAAGCCTCACACTTCTCACGTTAAGTATTTAGACAAATGTTTTAAACAAAGAAATTGCTAATGTTTTCTCACTGTGCAGAATTGTTTCTTTGTGATAAAAGACTCTTTAAAAGACATTCTTTGCAGAACAGAAGTTATTGTGAATATAAATAGCCACTCCAGTGAGATAAAGTGGTGGTTCTGGAATGACATACTCAAAAAGAAAGGAAAAAAAAAGAGAAAGAGAAGTAATTAAAAAAATGCTAAAAGAAGGAAGAATCACTTTTGCGTACATAAAATGAATCAAAAAAACATCCTTATCTCAGTTTAATTTCATTTACCTATGTTTTGTACCCAATAACTTTTTTCAGTTTAACTCCAAGTTCCCTCTATTGTCATTGTCTACTGTCATTGACAGAAGAACCAAATGCACTTGCTTTAGTTGAGAGTGTAGTGTTGACAGAAGAAAGCTAAAACATTAATTTTAGAACTGCATGATTGCATATGCAGCAGGATGGATCAACTCCACTGAGATCAAGAGGATGATGAATGGTACAATGAACAACGATGGACAAGAAGTCAAGTGGATTCATGTTGCTAAATTTTGATTTAGAATGCAATACAGTTCTGGGTTTGCTCCTGTTATCACTGACTCAAGTGCTCACATTGTAACAATAAACTGAAACTGTTTGGGATGGAATGCTGTAGAAATCTCAGTTATCAAAAATTTTGACAGAAATGTCCTTTCTCATGGAAGAAAATGATTTTCCTATTTACGATGTTACAAAAACAATCATCAGCACAGCTCTGCCCTAAGCACGCATGTGTTAAACCTGGCTGAATTGATAAGTTCGAAACATCATAGCTTCTCTTTTGGAATGCATACTGTGTTGGCTTTTGGCTCTACCTTCCTGTTGTAATTCTAGTGACTTCCCTCTATAGGAGCGGACACAGTCAAGGTAAAATGATTAGACAGTCATAAAAATTACTGATTGCTAGCAGTTCCTTGTCTGCAGCAACCCACTGTCTCAGCTCCAAACACTCTGCTAATGGTGTCTAGAAAATTCAAATCTGTACGACCTGCCAAGCAAAAATTAAACATGCTCTTTACATGTTTTATTGTAGTATTTTTATTCCAGGAAAAATATTAAATCTCAAGAGAGATGTTGCAGTAAAAATTTCTTTGCTAGAATGGCACTCCTTCCTTTGGTCTTTACTTCTGCAGTAATTTGACTTCACACAGCATCTTGTCACAGGAGAAGCCACAGAGTAAGCTTGAATTCACACTTTTTGACTTGCTTACAAGGACTTGAAACCATTTAATGGATTAAATTCTTTCCTTCCTTTATCTGATGCCTGTATGCAAAGGACTAGATTAGAATTACCCTAATGGAGACTCTCAGTTACTTTCCATATTACACCTTCCTTCAAGTTCACTGCTGGCTGGCAGTTTCCAGTCATGCTTTGGTTTCAGCTCCTGTAAATTTTCTTTCTGTAGATAAGCATCTAAACAAGCAAACCCCTGTTAGCTACTCACAACGTTATTAGCCAATGCCAACAAATAGAGCAAAGCATCCATCCAGATCATGTTACCGATTAGTAACTCAGGCAGCTTCTGAGCCACCTCTTTGTGTCTACCCTGGATAGCAGAGTATTAGTAGAAGGCTAAAAAAGTTGCCTTGTTTGACCCACATTACATGCACTCTTGTTCTTTCTTTCATGATAGCCATCTAATGCATGTCAAATTCATGCAGAATGCAGTACCATAGTGTGAAATAGGTACTCTTAGAAGTGCAATATGTAACCACAAAACACACAGCTAAGATGGTATGATGTATTTGTTACAGAATTTAGAGATATAGTGTATTTCTGGAAAAGAAGGGTAAGGCTTGAAGAATACCGTCCAAAGCATGGCTTCAACTGGCCTCATAATAAGACATTGGTTACAACCATGGAAAGAAATACTGCCAGACAATACTATAGAGAGCACAGTAAAGAAACATAATGCTTTCAACCAAGGCTAGAACTGGGGAATTTTCATCATTATAGAACATAGAAGGTGACAGACACCTCCTAGAGGCAGCTTGCATCATTCAAATAACTAATTTATGAGGCTTTAAAATAAGATACTGTCTTATATAATCAGTATTAACATGCCACATCTCATATGCGAGTCTTTGTTTGCTTTTAATAAAACAATACTTGTATATACTTGACATTATAGAGGGATTTGGCTTTACCTGAATCATCCACTCTCAGCTTTTTACTGGGATTGTCACCACTGTCATCATCAGACATTTCCATCTCCTCTTCCCGGCGGATTCCCATGAGTTGTTCACTGTGAGCATTTCGGAGCTCCTAAAACACAAAATGACCTTTTGTCAGAATTAACTTCCATAAAGTTATTATGTATTATTTAGTATCTGGTTTTAATACTGCTCTAATTTTAATTGCACCTCATTTATAATTGTAGTCATATTTATTTGTGTATGAATATTTATAACAACAGAACCACAGGGAATTCTTCCTGTGAAAGAACTGAGTTTATCAAAGGTAGCACTCAGCAAAAACAAGAGAGAAAGTGACTTTCCACGTTGAGTGATCTTTAGGTCGGCTAAAGATAGGAGAATGCGTTAACAGTGGGGATAATACTTAAAATTGTGTATAAAGCAGACTGGTAAAGAGATTGTCAGCCTGCTTAAGGCATATCTAATTCTTGCTTCCCTCTGCCACTTTGGGGTAGGATTCATCTGGCCAAACATAAATGGATCCATTAAACAAAGTCGTATTAACTACACTCTAAAAGTGACTCATTCTCTCTGCTGATGGCAAAGGGAGCTGAGAGCAGCCAATGCAGATGGAGTGCTCTATACTGCCGGTGCCTATTGCTGACCAAAGGAACCTCACTCTCTGTCCCTATGCCCAGATTGCCTCAGATTCAAAAGACCCAGTACCATAACACTGTCCTGAAAATCCTTGCATCTTGATCCAAAATGAGTGCCAGCATGGACAGCTCAGGCCCTGACTGACCGCTGCAAGAGCAGGCAGGCAGACAGGCAGGCAGTCCCTGCACATGTCACAAGGAAAATGATCAGCAGGCACCCAGGCTTTGTAGGAGTCTAGACAGTCTTTGTTCTGGGTAGAAAAGCTGGCGCGGGTGTAGCGGCTGCCTTTTCAATGGCAGCACTGAGAAGATTGAGAGGACTCTATTTTGTCCTAATAATCCTGTCAGGTGTAACACGGGGATGCTGCACTGTGATTAGTGTAGGCTTTGTCCATCCGCAGACAGCTAATTTTTCTGCCAACAAAGAGCTTAATTCCCAAAGAGGTGGTTTGAAATCTTTGAAACAAGGAAAAGTCGTGTGGAAGGAGGAGACAGCATTGAGGAGTCCGACAACTGCTCCGTGCAATTAACAATAAGCTGTCAGAGAGGGACTGCATGAAAAAAGGGAAGGCGTTTCTCTTGAGCTGTACCCTTGGTTCACTGGCAGATCTCAAACATTCTGAAAAATGTATCTGTGCCTATTGAAACCAGCAAAGGCAAGGAAGCTAATTAGTGGGCGTTCTACAGGAGAATAATTTAGAATTTTTAAAAAAAGTGCTAGAAAAGGTAAATTGTCATCCAGTGTCTCATGAAAACAGAAGAACCTCTGGAAGAAATTGGCAAGTCATTTCTGAATTCCTTATTGGAAAAGGTCACCTGCACTTTTCCTGGGGAAATGTACTCCATATATGAGCAGATATCCACTTACTCCCCAGTTAGGGGATAAAAGGCCTTGATACATCAATGTCTACATTATCAGCAAAGTCAACAATTTTCCATGGAGAATATATTTGTATATAAGTGTTTGACTTGGGTTTGGGTTTCTAGCAAAGCTTTCCTAAATTCAGGGGAAAAAAAGGCAAGTTGATCAACTAATCAAACAAATCAGCAGATAACATCATGGTTAGAAAATATGATTTGACTCAAAGACACCATTTGGTATATTTCCATCACATTTCATGTCTGAAAAACAGGCATTTCAAAGAATACTGAGTGAGAGCCTTCGCATGGTTTTGAATTGTTTTAGTTGTCCTCTTCTTAGAAAAACAAAAGACAATAATGTTTGAAAAAATGAACAGAGAATTAACATTTCTGGAAAGTCCAACTCTTACACATTTCAGTTTATTAAATATTTAGAAACCAGTAAATTAACGACATCCCTTTACAGAGAGTCAGTTTAAGAAGGGATGGTCTTAATATAATTAATCTAATAGAAAATCATATTTTCATATTTCTCTAAAAGATAAGACAAACATCAATCTCCAACTTCCCAGCTTTCACTTGAACAAAGGCATTATCCACTACATATATGAAATATTTGTGAACAAAATGCAAAATACAGTTTGTACCAATAAATTATGCTAACATTTTATTTTAAGTGTCCCATTATTGAAGTCATTTGGTATTCACCATAATAGCACTGATAATAAAGTATTCATTTGGTATTCATGTGGATGTTATATTTAGTGCCATTGGTATTCAACTGTAATTTAGCATTAGTTAATGGACACTTAAAATGTTATCCAAATGATTTATATCACAGCACTTTAGTGTTTCTCAGACTAAGTGTACAACACTTATTTTACGAGTGTACTACAAAATAATTAAATAAGCGCACCTTACCTTCTAAAGTTTTTATTCTGAGACACAGAAAAGTAATTTAGAGGACTGATAGTAACAATCGACACGCTGTACTACATGAAGGTAAATCAAGTGTATGTAAATTGCTCATATTAAAAAAAAGTAAGAAGAAAGAAAGAAAACAAAGACAGCGGTACTTACTTTTTAAAATACAGGCTCATAGCGTATATACTGAATTAAAAACGAAAGCTGGATGACCAAAGCACAGGATGAGGTCTAGTGCTTCCTCTGCTGCCACTCGCAGCAAGGGGAGTTAGAATTGCATTTCCTCTGCTCATGCTTATGACAGTCACACATGCATGGTCCCACATTGCTAACTCTGTGTGGTAATATGATCATTTATACTCGTTTCTTTGCAAGTATAATACTTGGAATCAATACAAGGAATGTATCTACCTTTTTAAAGATAAACATAAAACAAATTGGAAGGAATATGTCACAATTCTGGACTTAATATGATCAAGTCATTATTTAGGAAAAAATTTCAATTTTATTTTCAAAGTCATCTTATAATGACCATATGATGTCATAACGAGAAAAAATCTGTGCTACAGAATACTTCTTTTAAAAACAGATCACAACGACTCTTATAAAGACATTTTTCAGAAATAATTCTTAATTCTATCCTTACTTGAAAATATTGTTCCTAAGTTCACCACTTCAGTTCATTATTTTAGATAGTAAACATAATCTTCTAATGATTTCCCAAATTTTGCATGAGGAATAAAAACTCATTGCTCTCTGTCTTAACATTATTTAATGACTATTATCATAATGAGAGCAATGGGAGCAATTCATACTTGTAGATGAGACTGTATAATGGCCAGTTGATTAATAGCTAAAATGGTAGCTGTAAATATCGTTGAATACACTATGTCCAGCTACAACCACACTCGTTGTGTGTCAATCCAGCTGTGAGATGATGGATAGAAAGTAATAATAAAATCACCAACCTCAGAATGCTTTCGCCAAATGTCTATGTTCTTTCGCTGGGCTTTCGAGAAATGGTCCCAAGCTTTTTGTCTGGTAGAAGCGTTGAAAACGGCGACAATCTGCTCAACTTTGGTGAACAAGGAAGTCAAACAAGACAAGCAATTTATGTTGTGATCACTATAGAGAAGCAAAGCAAAGACACTAGGAGTCTATGGATGATGTCATTACTGAAACAACATCATCAATATCCATCCAATGATGTGTCTTTTGTACTTACATTGTATCAATGTTGGAGATGTCTCCCTTCAAGTCTGTCTCCATAACTTTAGTCTACACAACTTATAACTATGTACCAAAGCCCACGCATGCAGCTTCCCCATGATATCAGCTACAACTCCCTGTGCTGGCACATGCCTTAGTGTGTGTGGCTATAGGTGTGTGACTACAGAAATGACACTTGAGACATAAACCTGATACTCGTTCCCCTGAGGCAGCTGTGTGCAGATGAGCAGGCTGTACGAATGAAAGCGTGACAGACAAGCAGGCCCTGCTTTGAAGGATGACAATCTGAGAGTGGGAATTTGTCAGCAGACAGGAAGGGCCAAAGAATACATTAATGCTGCATTCTGAGGCCGCAGCCACTGCTTCTCTTCTATTTAATATAAATGGGCTCACCTGTGGTAGATCATTCTGTCCTGTGTCATTGGCCTATGTATGGTTATGTACGTGAACAGTCATATTTTTTTAATTTAAGATGAAGAAGAGATGTGAAATGGGCTTCCCTCATTCAAGTCTTAGGAATTTGTTCTGAGGCCAAACATCAATATGCAAGTCAATTATCTAGGACAATTAAGATCCTTAATTTTTTAGCTATTTGTTCATCTCAATTGAGAAAGATTTTCTCTCAACACTCTTTTCTTTCTCTTCACATCAGTTACAAGCAACATTGTCCTTCACAACAGTGATGTGACTAGAAATGACTTGGCCAAGATGTAAGTTGCCTTGATCCCAGCACAATTAACTGAAGGACCACCAAGAAATCCTGATTTTCTACAAATTACCTGGACTGTGCTCCTGAATGAGCAGCTGTGCCAGCCTATGAAGTCAAATGGAAAAATGCTTCAACAATTTGACAAGGTTCTTAGCTATTTATCTCTTTATATGCCTCGGTTGAAATGATGTCCACCGTTTTATAACGTTGCAGCTTGCAGCACCTCCTGCCCTTCTCACTGAAAAGTGGTATAAGGAGTGCCACAATGTTCTGATTTGGTTCCTCATCAAGTTATTGATAGCTGCTCTCTTTCTTCTCTTAAGCCAGAGATGTAGAGAATCTTATTATACATAACTACCTATCCTTTCTAAAGTCACAGCAAATAAATGTAGTTAATTTTCTTTTAAAAATAATACAAATATGTAGTTTGTACTAAAGAAGGTACCTCGAAACTACTGTGATCTGATGCATTTGTAATCCATACATGTTTTAAAGGCAGATGTGAAAATTTCAGCTTGGACTGAAGAGTGGATGTATCAAGGAAGTTATGCTGTGTATATTTATTAAATTAATTTGAAAAGAATGAAAATGGTAAAGCACTCTATTATTATGTGTATAGAAACTGAGGCTAGAATTTAATTACTATCATTGTGTTGATGACCCAGGTGCTCAGAAAATTTTGCTTAATTAACAATCTGTTCTCAGTTTGCAAGTGGAAATTCAAGTAGAAAAGATTCACAAAGATATGAGGAAGAGATGGTTTGCCATTTTCCACTAATAAGTATTAATAAGATTGTCTGAATTTTGAAAAACATTTGAACTTTAAAGAGTTTAATTTCCATTATGTGAACAGGTGCTAAGATTTATCAAAAGTCATTATCTGATCATTTGAGAAACACTCCTCAATGGAAACACAAGCTAGGAAAATGTCAAAGAGTTTTTCTTATAGTAGACAAAGTGAACAGAAAATGGATCTCCTTCACTTACTTAAATTTTAGGAATTAAAAAAAGCTATAGGAGGTAGGATAGTATGAGTACAACATGCTCAAAATCAAGGCATTTAAAGAAACTTTATGAAATAGGCAGCTAGGGATAATAAGAAACGGAAATGTAGAGGAGAATACTAAATTAGCATGTATCAAAGAGCAACATCCCAGTACTCTATTCAAAGAAAGTGTCAATGTATGTACAGTAGTTTCAATATTCACAGCAATCAGGGCTACAAGATATTGCAAATGCCCACGAGTAACACCCAACATAAAAGGCCTTCAAGCCTTACATTGGAGCTAAAGAGCAGACAAGGCCATGGTTTGACAGTGCAGGAAAATGCCTTCATGTCTTTTTGCGCTGCATCAAAATCCTGCATTCATGTGTTATGAGATGTCAATCCAATATAAACCCATTTGGCCAGTTCACATTTGTTCATAGGTTAGTTCATGTTGCACCAAGATTGATTTGTTTTCCCATGGACACCCTGGAAACCTCAAGCTGGCATAACACTTTTGAGATCTGGGTAATTGGAGGACAAGACATAATGTACCCACTCCTGATCAGGATCAAATTTGTACGGGTAAGTAATCAAGCAGCACACAGGCCATAAGGATGGTAGATTCATCCCCAGGGGAAGTCATGAGAGGTTTTTATTAGCTGAGAAACATTCCAATTAACTAATTCTTTGACTATGTCTGGATAAGACTTGGCCAAAGAGAGGCACCAGAATTTGAGCTGATATCCACAGAATCCGAGTGAAACAGTTGTTCCCAGTCTTGCTGCTGGCCATGGTTTTCAGATTATTTCCTGACTTCCAGAAAGACATTTCCAAAACTAAATAACGGGTCATATCTATCTCCTGAAGGCTCCTTGAACTCTAGGATGCACCGTACTGTCAACTGTGACTGGTAAGTAGAATTATTAAGTGACATGATATATTCATTGTTAAACATCTGTTGGTGAGTTCTATGCTATATCAAATTTTCATTGACCATATGCAAAGCTGTTGCCTTACTAAATCAGAATTTTAAAAAACCCATTGTTCTGGAAGGGTCCATACCACGTCATTGTTTTTCCTATCAATATAACTTAGAGGATATAAGTAATTGCATCTTTCCTAATGACTTATTCTGTGGCTGGTAATTCATGTGGCATGTTTCAGACAAAGGATTATTATCTAATTTCTTTTCTGCTGTGTTATAAATAACTAGAAAGACCCAAATGACTAAGCCTAGAGTGATATGCAAGTGTTAGTCTTTAACAAACGAAGTGCAACTATGATACAATTTATTAGAGGTGCCAGCTCACAGCATGTATATAGAAAGAAAGTTTGAGCCTCAGTTTCTGCTGCCATAACAGATACTACCAAGATAAAGTATTGTTATCAAGTATATGTAAATGTAAAAACAACCAGAAAAACTAGGAGTTACAACTAAAATCCCTTAAACAATGCTTGCCAAACTTGCATAGAAAGTTGTATTGAAGGGAAAAGTAGAATATCTCCAGGGCAAAAGAATATTTGATACAGGATATTTGGAAACTGTACTACCAAAGAAGAACAGAAATAAATGAGAACCAGAGTCTAGGCTCATCTGTAGATTAAGAGGCAGAGGGAACGCTTTTACCCTGCATTACATCTATCAAGTAGACTATTTTAAATACATGATTGAATGAAGGCTGAAATTTCTCTTTGGGTTCAGGAGACAAGAAGTATGCAATTTTTCCTTTGCTTATTACATTATTAGGTGCCATACATACTATTTTATAATATAATCTATAAAAAACATATATAAAATATGTAATACATATTTTATAATACAGATATAAAGTGTAATTTGAAAAAGAAACAAAATAGAAACTGAAGCACAATGTGTTAAAAGAAAAACAAAAGCCTCTGCTGGCACATAAAATAATTGGATTTCATGTAGAATTTCACTCCGATTTCCACCAATTAGGGATATGGGATGAAAAGGGCTTTGCACTAAATTACTGTAAGTGCAAGAATAGAATATATGGCAATTTAGTTCAGAAAAATTTTATAAGAGTGCAGCAGTTGACATGAAGGGTAAAAGAAAAATTCCACCCATAAAATTACAGTGTAAAGGAAACTGTTACAGTAAATGTATAACATGCTTTTCAAATATAGATTCGCAGCACAGGGAGGATATAGAGTTGGCGTGGTTTGGGGCAGAAGCCTTGTTGTTGAATTCTGACTAAGCTACAGTCTGCCAATCGATTTGGCTTCAAGCCCAGCAAACCAAGGAATTACAGTAGTCAAGGCTAGATGCTGTAGTGAATGAATTAGAGTCTCCAGGTCAGTTTTGGATAGGGAAGAGAATATTTCTGGTGACAGTCCTGAAAGATACTTGATAATGAACTGAATAGAAGTTAGCATTAATTTCAAGGCTAAAATTGCATGAGGTGAATGACATGTGACAGCAGTAAGAGAAATAGTAGACAGATTGCAGAGTAATGAAACACATATTATTTCATTATTTTGGGCCAAACCTTCAGGTTTTTGACTATGATACTGCTCGCTTTCAAAAAAGAATTTGCCTTTCTCACATTTACAGCTGAAAACCTGCAGCCTCTCCCTGTTACACCATTCACATGCCACACAGAGAGAAACAGATGATTGCCTCTGACTAGCAGAGGATGAAAACATGAAACTTAGAAATAGCACCCTGAAGAAGACTGCAGATTATGCAAAGAATGGGTCCTAAAGCATAACACAGGTCATCAGATGGATATGTAAGTAAATGCTATTAAAGATTTGTATAATGAAGATGTAGATTTTGACAGCTATGCAAAATAGCTCATCTGCTGAAAATAACCAGCATAGTCATATCGCTTTAGTCTTGGTTTTACTGGGATTTTGTTTGGCTGTTAATTTTTTCTTTTTTTAAAAAAAATTATCCATGGCTGTCAGAAAGAATGTGAATTGGAGCTGCAACTCCGTCAGAGTCTACTGTTTGGGCAGCATGCTGCCTGGTTGCCTGTAGGTTCCTTTAGACATAGTGTTAAGACACAGCATGATAAAGGAGAAAACCACAGGACTTCACTAATATATCCCCAAATTCCACCTTTTCAGACAGGCCAAACGAACGGTGCCTCCAGTGATTTATCTCCCAAATTGTTTTGCTGTG